TCAATGCTGAAAATTGTAAGTAATTTTTAATAATATTTTAATAATATTCACAATATTTCTTGTCATTAATATTTTATTAAATTATAATCATAATTAGAAATTAATCAATAAAATCATAATTAAAAATTAAAAAAGAACAATAACAAATTTTTCCACAAATTCTTATACAATATAACAATGCTGATAGTAATATCGTGATATTAACATAGTCTAGGATTTTGGCAAAACATTAAGTAATATTATAAAATAACACTTTGATAATTTTCGTAAAAGAGTAGAATGATATTATAATATACTGTAAAAAATTTTTTTAATACAATTTTTCATTTAAATCGAGCATTGAGCAAATTATTCATCATTGATAATACATTATTCATAATTTCCTCTTGCGTAATCAAAATAAGATAAAATCACAAAATAAAAAAAAAAATAATCGTCATTTCAGTAAAACTATGCGTAGTCGAGAGTATTCACACAATAAAAGGAATTCGCGGACTTTGCCCACAATTGGCAATCTCAGGGAGTCAGGTAGAGTGTGTTATAGGAAATGATAGGCGAGTATAACAAATTAATAGGAAAAACGATAAGTTTTATGCTTTTTGAAGAGTATTGATTAATTTTGTTTTTTTTCTGTTTAATATCTTAACTTTTTTTTCTTTTTTTTAACGATATTAAACAATGTTATACAGATTCAATTGCTTGCGACATTTGTCTATGGGTAAAGCCGATTTTACTGTATTGGAACCGGAAGATCTGGTTGCAGCGTCCGCGTATAACGAATACAACATTCTAGTCACAAACGAATTAAGATTATTTTCAGACGGTAATAACAAAGTAAATCAAATAATAATTTAAACTTATATTATTAATATTATTAATATTTAAGGAATTAAAATTTATGTTTTATTATTATTATTTTATTTTTTATTAGAGAAACAACGTTATGAGATGATAGTTATAGTCTCTAAAAACGTGAGAAATATATGGGACGTTAAGGGTAAAAGATTTTGTCATCCTGGACTAGATACTACCGATGATTGGACCAATTCTTTTTCAACGGTTAATTATTTTATAATTATTTTTTACTTTTTACTTTTTTTTTATTTATCATATATTTTTTATAAATTAATTTTTGGTAATTGAAGTAATTAACGAGTTATATTCCTAATAACAAAATTGATTAAATAACTTATTAAAATATCAAGGAATTAAAAAAATTTTAATTAATTTACATTATACATATACATATATTAACTTTAGTAATTTAAAATGATTCGAATTTCTTTTTTAATAATTTAAAAAACAATTATATTACTATATATATATATATACAAGAAAAAAGAAGAAAATTGCTTATAGATGATAGATATTTTATTTTTATTTTTGAAAACTATTATAAAACTATTATAACTCGATATTAAATTATTGCATATAATGTATAAACTACATTATATAAAAATAAGAAGAAATTTATTATTATAATATTAAATTTTTAAATATTAGATAAATTTAAAAAATATATTAATATTCATATAAAATATAATAATTATTTAATTTTTTCTACAAACAATATTTTCAAAATCTACTTAAGGCAATTTTTTTGTTGAACAATATAATTCTATCTTAAATATATATTTAATATAATATATATTTTAAACATAACATTAGACATAAAATATAATAGTATCATAATAGTAACAAAGTGAAAAAGATAAAAAAAAAATGATAGAATTAACATACCTTTATTACAATTGTAGTATTTTGAAGAATGGATAATACCGAGAAATTGCGATCCAGATAAGACGTTATTAGAAGATCGAATGAATGGTTTGTCAAATTTCTTTGAGGCAGCTTGTATAGCTGGACCTTGGACCGCAGATACCATATATGATAGTAAATTAAGTAAGTATTTAAACAGTTTGAATAAATAGAAAATAATATACAATGTTAATCACTCTATAACAATTTTTTTCCTTGTAGAATCGAAATATAGAAATCTTTGCGCCGCATGCGACAATCCAATGGGCTGTTATTCAAGTGATACGTATCACGGTCGCGAAGGTGCTTTATTGTGCCTTACTGATAACGCAGGTGACGTTGCCTGGGTTAGATTAAATGATACTCTGGAACATTTTAAGGTAAAAGAATTAATCTATAAATGAGAGATTAATTCATTTGAGATAATACGAAAAAGTGATAAAAATTAAAAAATTTAAAAATATTATTTTTTCTATTTTTTGATAAAGCAAGAAATAATTCATTTTCGTATGCAATAAAATATATTAATTATTTTGAACACTATAATATAAGAATTTTCAATAATTTGTTAATGAATTATGAAATCAGGATGAACGAATCAACAAGGAAGATTACAAATATCTTTGTCCGGATGGTACAACGAGACCTGTGAAACTCGATAAACCATGTGTATGGATCACAAAACCATGGCCAGTGATTATCGCCAGATCGTTAGTAGAAAATGTTAACTAGAAGGATTTGATTAAACAATGTATATTTTAAGTGATATTTGCATTTTACCAGAGAAGTAGCAAAAAAGGTGGAAAAGATAATGATTTCTTTGAAGACAGACAAGTTCGGTTGGAAGCTGCGTCAATTGTTGGAAAATTATCATCCAACACCGGTGAGCACAAATACTTTGGAAACGCCGGAAGACTTTCTAGTAAGATGTAATTAGCAATGATTAATTACAATACGAATAATTTACAATTTAAAAAAAAATAGTTTAGGATTTTATTTAAAATGTAATATTTAATCGTAGTTCCTCGCTTTATGGGCGCTAACAATCGCGTACCATGTCGTCCATCGAGAAGAGTAAAATGGTGTGTTGTTTCGAATTTAGAAGAGAATAAATGTCGATGGCTTAGAGAAGCTTCGATTGTGTATGGTGTGGAACCAGCGATTTCCTGTATTCAAGAATTAACAAGAGTAGACTGTTTAAAAGCTCTTAAGACCGAACGTGCAGATATATTTATTGCAAAACCAGAAGAATTGTTCCAAGCCAAAAAGTGAGTAAAAATGAAAATTGTATTCATGGAAAAAATAATATTTTGTGGAAAAAAACTATAACCATGTTTAAAATAATGTTGGCTATGTTGATAATATTTAAAATAGAATTGGCTTAAAAACAATGGCACAAATAGTACCCAAGAGGAACAATGAATTCATTAGAATTGCAGCAGTTGTGAAACAAGATTCGCGGTTCAAAAGTTTAAAAGATTTGAAAGGAGCCAAGGCGTGTTTTACGGGATACCGAGATATCGGTAAATATAATTTTTTATTTTTCTTTTATGTTTTTAAATAGTGATTTATAATTTATATATAATATATATTTTATTTATAAATTAAATAATTTGTTAGAAACAATAAGAAAGATAACTTGCTGTTGTTAATAAGTAAAACATATTTTTTGTAGGATGGAATGCTTTTGTGGCTGTATTGAAAATTATCTCGAATTCAAAGTCTTATTGCGATACGGAAGCAGTTGCTAATTTTTTTACAGAGAGTTCTATTGTTGGTCTGAGTGATAATGATGGGCAAATGCCATATAATTTACATTCCTTAACTAAACAAGGTGCGTACACATTGCACGATGATAACAATGAAACGACGCGATTCTAATATCAATGAAACAAGAAAACCAACAAAATTTGTAGCAAACGGAGTTGGAAAAGACTTGAGCGCCTTTGATTGTATGATGTCTAATATTGGTGACGTAGCTTTTGTTGATTTAAAGAAGATTGATGAAAAGAGTGGTAAATATATTGGATAAGTAAATAAAAAAATTTAATTTATTAATTTAATTTATACGAAAAAATTGTTAATAAATTTTAAACCAACTTTTTTTTGTATTTTATATTTCAATTATGATATTTTTATTATTTTAGGTACTTTAATAAAAAAACATGGTAATCAAATGCGAAATAATAAATATCGAACTTTATGTTTTAATGAAGTAGATTCGGATGAAGTATGTTTACTTACATGGGCACCATTGGGCATGGTATATTTTATATTAAAAATAATTTTATAGTATTAAAAATATAGATATTGGATTATTTGTAGGTGATAACGAATGAAAATATGACAGATTTGAGACGAGAGGAGATTTATTCCATGCTATTAGAAATGGATAAACTTTTCGGAAGTAGTTTCAAGGGCCGTACGCCCGCGTTTTCTATGTATGGGATATATGATTCAAATCAAAGTATTATATTTCCGGTAAGAATATAATATTAGTTTTAAAATAATAAAATACTAACATAAAATAATCCAAATTAAATAAAATTAATATTATTAAAAATAGATCTTTATACAAATAAATTCGATTATATATAATATAACATATAACATAACATGTGTCGATTATGTAATATAAAATCAAACATTTTTTTTATTCTTCATCAGAACTTAAGCACATACAGTCCAAAGGTCGTTCAAGTATAGCTATTTTTTCTCCATATTTTTCATTTTTCATCATTCCATAATAAACATAACCTTTTTCACAAAAAGCCCATGGGAAATGCATACATTTGAAAGAAATACAAGGTTCTCCTTTTGCGTCTAATGCAATAGCACCTATATGAGAATCTCCAGTTTCTATTTCGAAGTCCTGCAGTACAGTGTTTACTGCAGTAGTTATACATATATCTTCAGATAACTTTCTAATTATTTTACGTGCTGGCGCATAGCAATAGATACTAGAATTATTACCAGAAACAGAAGTACAACCAAGTTCGTTTGTATAAATGCCACAACCAATTACCGTACCGATTGGACTTACAGAACCAACTGGTTTTCCAGATTCCCCTGCTGTTGATGTTCCACTTGCAAGTCGTTTTTTACGATCGTATGCAACTACCCCAACTGCACCAATCTGATATTAAGATTTTTCAATTATATTTTATAAAATATAATATAGTGAGAATATATAATTAATGAAACTATAGATATTATTTTTTAATATTCTATAAGTACAATTCGATAAATATGATTTTTTATGAAAAATAATAGTATGAAAAACATACTTGTAAAATTATTGATTCATCTATATCATCTATATCTATATCATCATCAAATAATTGATATACTTCATCTTCTTCATATCGATTTATAACGCAATTTGAATCACATTTTTTTTTTTCATTTTTTAATTTGTATGTTTCACATTCTTCTTCATTTTTAAATGATTCAAATGATATGGATTTGAGTGAACTTAATGAAGAGATTTCACGTAAACTACTTGGCGGTAAAATTGGAATTCCGTGATCTAATGCAAATTTTTGAGCTCCTTTTTCAACAATTAAGATGTGTTCCGTATTTTCTAACACTTTTCGTGCTGCATATATTATATTACAATTGAAAATATATTTTTCGTGCATTATAATATTATATTGCAATTAAAAATTTTTTAAAATTATTATTTTGTCACTAAACACAAACCTAAAGAAATCGGATGTTCTATATCACGAACAGCACCTACGCATCCAGCATCTTTTGTTGTCATTATAGCAGCATCCATGACAACTTCATTATTAAGGTCTAAAGAACCTCCTTTTCCACAATTAAATAATGATTTATTTTCCATATAAGAAATTGCTTTTTCTACCGCATCCACTGCTGATCGACCGTTGATAAGATCGCTATATGCTTCAATTGCTGCATTTTTAACCTATTTGAATTAAAAATTTTTATTTTCATAATTAACAACAATTTGAATATTGATTTGAATGTAATGCTTTTCAAACCTCAACAAGTATACGTTTACGTTTGTTACGAGGAATTTTTCCTGCACCTCCATGGACTATTATAACAGGATCTACATAGACACGACGTTTCTTTTTCTCTGGTTTTGTTTCTTTTCTAATTCTTGTTAAAATTTGATCGATCCACGAACAATAATCACACATTATGAATATATAACGTAAAATTTTATGAGAAAGAATAAATTTATGTAGATCAATGATTATTTGATTTAGATAAAAAAGTAATTAAAACAAATGCAAATGCTTTCTTTATAGGAAGGAACACAACATCTACAGTTAGAAGTTCATCAAATTCAACGAGCAATGAGTTATTCTGATATTATTAACGATGTCGTTAAACAAGTTTATTGTAATGGTGTAAAAAGTTTGAATTCTCTTTATAACATGATCTTTATATATATATTTTTTGTTCTGTTGTTATAAATTGCTTAAGCATAAATATCATATCTACTGTTATTGTGTATATATTCATATTTTGATAAAATTTTATTATAATAAAAAAAAATAATAAATAATAAAAATTATTATTATTAACTACTGTTAATTATAAACTACATTATTCTTCATTAAGATTATATTATTTAAATATTTCTTTATATTATAAAATTATCAATTGTATATAATTTGTAGATAGTTTCATAAATAATAATAATTAATAAATAATTGCTTAATAAATAATAATAGTTTTGTATAAATTATGTTTAATCTGTTAACATTTTCATTAACAAAATGTTTTTAAAATAATGATAAGATTGTTCTTATTATTTTTGAATATACAGTTTTCTTGAAAAATACAAATATTATATATCCATGGTATCCATGATATTTTGTTTTGATTCACTGAGAATATAAAAAAGTTTCAATTTTTTTGAATAGTTTCTATTAATGACTTTATCTTAATTATAAAATTGCAATATATCGCATAAAAGTATTTAATTCTTCTAAATAATCTTCTTTTTTTGAATGATAAAAACTTGTTTTTAATTTGTGTATTTCTATGTCTCCAGATTCTATACCAAATGCCTAAAAAAAAAAAAAAATAATATATTGGATTATAAATTGCAATATATAAAAAAATATTGATAACATACCAAATATTGATGAGACATATCTCGTTTTGTTTTACAATATGATAATTGCATACTTTTTATATTTCCACTTTTTTGCATATTTATTTTATATGTTGGATATATATCACTATTACTTAAGTCCCATATATGTATGCTAAAATATTAATATACAAAGTTATTTAATTAAATTAAAACATTTAAATCAATGTTCATTTTATCATGTTTTCTTACCATGATTTATTATCTAATACAAAAAATGTGAATGGTTTCGATCGTGACCATTGTATTGATTTAATCATATATGTACTATCTTCATCTTTTAATTGTAAAATTGGTTTTTCAGTATTTAAAGAGTGTAACCGAATTGTTCCATCATCACAGCTAACCTATAATAACGAATTACTTTAGAAACATAATAATATTAAAAAATTTATAAATTTGCATAAAAATTTTACCAGAAAAAATGAATAACCAAATGGACAATTTTCTATATAAGTTACATTTCCACAGGCACCTGAAATATCAAATAAAATAAATGAATAATTAACAAATTAAAATTAACATATCATTGATAACTTACTAGTATCCAATTTTGTGTATATAGCAGGATTAGTTTTTTTACCAATACAAGTACCATGCAAAATATTGTTACTATTAGTAGCAATATAAAAATTGTTACTATTAATACAATCCACGTGCATATCAATGAAAGTAGCTGCATTGATCCTTATAAAGAGTTAAAATATTCTAATAAAATTGATATTCAATATATAATGCACAACTTATTACAAAATATTTACTTTTTCTTATGATTAGATTGTAAAAATAATTCTTGACTTTTAACAAGTTTTATAGTACCCCAAAATGATAGTCCTAAATCCTCAATATTTTTGCCCATATTATGCAAAACACTCCATATAATAAGAGTACCATTTTCATTTAAGCTACATATCTATTGTGAAATCATATTAATAATTAAAGTTAATTAAATTAATTAAAATCAATTAAAAATTAATATAAAGTTATCTAGTAATTAACATAAATAATATTAATAATTAATACATTATACAATATATAATATATTTAGTAATATTAACAAACCTGTATTGGTATAAATTTATTGTTATGTTGTATCAATGTATCAAACTTTTCTTCAATTTTAGATAATACACATACTGCAACGATTTGTGTAGTATGAATATTTATATCAATATTTGTTGCTGTTGTATATGTAGGTATTCGTATTATCCAATCTAAATTATTGGTTTTATCTGTAATTTTATGATGCCACATTTCATCTTCTTTTAAATCCCAGAGACATATTGATCTATCAATTATATAAATTTTCATTTAATAAAATTTTTTTTATTTACATGTAATATATGGTAAAATATTGAAAATAACTAGTAAAATAATATACCCATCTTGCAATCCACCAAATATAATATTATAATTTGCCGAATGGAAACAACATGCAGTAATAGGACAGGTAGAATAAAATAATTTAATTGGTCTAGATGGTTCAGAAATATTCCAGACACATCCAATACAACAATCAGTTATATAATCTTGTTTGCTGGATGTTTCAATTTCCTACATAAAATATATAATTTTTATTGATTCAGATTTAATATAATAAATCTTCAATAAATAATTCTTACTTCTTCAACTGGAGAATGAATAGTCAATAAAATTTTATTTAGGATTTCAGAATAATGAATTATTGTTACTGTTCTACCAGCCAGAAATGTTACAGAATTTATACAAAGTTTGACAATACCATCACTGAATGGTACTTCTTTTTCATTTTTAAATACATTACCACCCGATCGTCTTTCTTCCAGTAATGATAATATTACTTTTCCTGCGCGATTTATAAAATCATTTAATCGTAATATATCAAAAGATTGTAATGATAAAGAATTCACAGTTTCTACATCATTATCGCTGCCAGTTCCAATTTGATCCTAAAAAAATAATTTTCCAAAAAGATCTATCATTATATTAATAATTAAAAAATAAATTTATATACCATACGAAACAAGTCTAAATCTTCCTTGGTTTGTATATTATTTCTACAAGTTATAGGGAATTGAGTCCACTTATTTTTAAATATAATTTTCTCCGTTTGTATTTCTATATCAATATTATCTTCACCAGTTTGTGTTGATATCTAAAAATCAAATTTATTATTTATATTTATTATCATATTACTATTGCATAACAACAATAATAATTCAGTATTATTAGCTATTAATATACTTGTTGAGTATTTAATTTTCCATAGTTTCTAATAAATTCTTCATATGGTATAGGTAAACATTCCAAAAGAGACCACTCCATAACATCTAATTTTATCATTTCTAAAAGTTCTTCACCTCTACTTAAAGCTCTTTTGGATTTCTGGAAATGATAATAGATAAAATTATTAATGAAAAATTTAATTAATTCGAAATTAATTTATTACCTTTGTTTTTTTTTTTCTTTGACTTTATGGAAATCAATAAATGAAATTTGTGAGATTGATGGCGATTTTGTAAAATCACCAGAACGACTATCTTCAAATCCTTCATCAGTAGATAATGGTAATGATTTATTTTCTGATTTATCTTCACTATATAAAAAAATATACATTATATAATATATAATAAAACAAATATATGTCAAAGTTTTATTAAAATAAATGTTATCTCCAAAATCATTTAATAAATGTATTACATTTGATAATTATTTAATGAGAAAACAATACAAGCTGTACAATATATTATTTAATTATCTTGAAACTTGATTTTAGTTAAAACAAACCTATATGATTTATTAACTGGTTGTTTTATTTCAAGAAGAGAAGATAATTTTGGATCATTTGTAATTAATTCTATTCTTGCTGCTCTTTTTCTTGCTTCTGTAAGTTCATAGTGACCAGAATCATGCATATGTTCTTCTTCTTTTGTATTTTCAGTACTGTTCACAATTTTGCGCTAAAGTAAAATAATAATTTGAAATAAAAATATTATTGCTTTTGAATTTATTTTATAATAAAATAAATGTTAGTACTTGTTTTGTAGTATGTAATTCAATTGGATCTAATGATAAATTATAATTATTTGTTTCTTCACTAACTTCAGATGATTCACTATCTGTACATTCTTGAAAATCAGACTCATAATCCTATAAAATGATATAAATTAAAATTACAAATATATAATAATACATATAAACATCTATTATAATATATTATTTTACTTCAAAATCATCTTCATAATCATATTCATAATCTGCTTGCTCTTCTTTATTTTGATCCATTTTTTGTAATGAATCTGATCTATTTTTAGCAGAATGTAACATTTTTATTTCACTAGGACTTAATGTTCTAGACAATTTACGTTCTCTTGATTTTAATTTTGATTCAGTTACTTCTGGGGTACTTGTATGTGTTTTAATTTGTTCTTTGTCTTTTGATGTAGAACTAGGACTTTTATCCAATAATTTAACATTAAGCTTGCTTGAAAATGATTGTGGCACATATATTGTACTTAATCCTCTCTTTTCTGAATAATTGCTTTTTATTCTTCCAGTACTGCTTTTACTACTTTTTATATTATTATTGATTTTTTTTGTAGAATCAATTGATGTTTTTGATGTTAAAATACTTTTTGATGGTCTAGGACTATTAACATTTAGTTTTGATGTTAAAGATAAACTTTCCTTAACAGGAATAATTTTAGCAGATTTAATAGATTGTTTTGTACTGCTTTTGTTTGATTGTAAATTATGTGTTAATCTTGAATATTCATCACTCTTTTTTCTTTGAAGAGTTTGTGACATTCTTATCAATTTTAAATCTAATTGTTCAAAGTTTTCTACTTCTTTATGAGATGATGAACTTTTGGATTTAAATTTAATATTTGATTCTTGTCCATCCTTAGCTGTTAAACTCTTTTTAATTGTTCCCTAAGATACAATAATAAAAATATTTTTAATATTTTTTTAATATCATTCAAAAATTTGATTTCTATCTATAGTTTTTAAAATTATTTATGTATCTATTATACATTATATAAAAAAAGTCAATAGATTTAAATTGTTAATAATCATGAATAATGAATATATGATTAATATATAAAATTAAAATGTCATAATTTTGTGAAATTATTATAATCATGCGTGAAAATTTAAATAATACATACATAAACAAGTAATAAATAAGTAATATGTTTGAAATTAAAGATATCTTTTTTAAATATAATTAAATATCACCTTATGAGACATGTTTATGATTGATTAATGTTGACAATTCTTATAAAATCACCATGATGTAAACTGTCATTTTTATAACAGCGCTACATGTAGGTATTTTGTAAAACTACATATTGTAAGAGATATTTTTACCATCTATTGGTAAAAAGTTACAAATAAATTTTTCATTTGAAGTATTTATATATTTTTATATCACAGATAAATTCATTTGTTATATATATATATATATATATTATATTATAAACAAAATATTTTCCTTTATATTTTTACGGAAAATGAAATTAAATTCAAGAGTAATATGTTATCAATTACATGAAAATTTTTATATTATTAAGTTTTTTAATTTCTAATAAATCATAATAATAACAATAATAATAATAATAATTTTTAATAATAAATTAAACGATTTATTAATTTATAAATGATATTAAAAAATAGATATTGTCGGTGTAAAACGATAAGAAAGAAAAGAACGATGAAAAAAAAAGTTAGGTAAGAAAAATTACTTTAATTTATTATATTTTGTAGTCATTCGTAATCATGAATAGCTTGGCGTCCCGAAAGAAAAATAATAAAAATATTGATCATGGTCTGCTTCGACGACATGATCAAAAATCGACAGTTTCTGATTTGGTATACAGATATTTAAAAAATATTGCATACACTGATAGCGTTCGAAAACAGCGTAATAATGCATGCAATAGATTTCGAAGAAAAAACTCAAGAAAAAGAAATATTCATCCTTTGCATAAATGTATAAATACAGGTATAAATAAATTCAAAAATTATTTAATTTTTTATTTAATACATTTTTATTTTTAATTTTATATTCTCAATTTCATAGATTGTAATAGCATAAGATCTTACATAAGTAAAGCACTTTGTTTTGCGATACATTCTGGTTATTTAATTCCCACTGATCGAACTGGAAAATTTTTACAACTTTCTCCATATTTTACATTGAATCATGCTTTTGACAAGGATATAAATAAAAAACAATAAAGGTGTAAAATAAAAATAAAATAAATAAAAATAGAAATAATTTTATAAAAATTTATTTGTTATATATTTACTAAAATTTATACAAATCTCTGTATTTGACAGAAATTTAATATAAAAAAGTAATATAAAAAAATAATTGATTTTTAATTAATTAAAATATTTCATCTTATATAATAAATATATAACATATGTAATAAATCACATTAGAATATTATTATATTTACAAAATTTGCCAACTGAACAAAAATCTAATTATTTTTTATATCGTTTTGTTTGTTGCTTACACTTTTCTCGACAATGTTTAATCCATTCTTTCAGTTCTTTTTCATGTTTCTTTGAATAAGGAATCAGATTTTTTATTTCGTCGTAAATTTCGTCTATATTATCTGAATTTAATTTATTTAATTTAACATTTTCTGTCATTGTCCTATCATTATTTCCTATTGTTTTTCTTCTCTTATTATTTTCTTTCCTTCTCGAAGAATCGAATACTGGCTGTTGTTCCATTCTCATTTTTCTTTTTTCGTTTATCCTCTTACTACTACTCTCTTGCACATTTTGTTCGTTTCTTTGTATTTTTGAATTATTTTTCAAATTTTCTTGAATTTCATCTTCACATATACATTCTATGTCTTTATCAGTAATTTCGTTACAAAAGCATTCTGGCGTTATTTTATTTGGATTCATCTTACGTTTTTCTTCTTGTTTTCGAGAATCTTTTCTTGATTTATTGATCGACATACTTTGATTTTTACTTGCAAATTCTAGCTCTTCATCGGTTGTTGTTTCACATTCACAATTGTTAGCTACGTTATTGCGACGTTTTGGTTTTTTAACTGGCGAAGACAATAAACAATCCTTTCTATCGCTCGTACAAGTTGTCTGATTCATCAAGATTGCATTTGGACCGATTAAATGATACTCGTTTCCTAATAATTCTATAGCGAACCTAGAATAGGAATTTATTCGATCATATGAATCATATGAATTTATGGACAATTTATTTATAGCATAGTAAAGAAAATAAGATAATTATTATGATTATATAATTATTTTAAACAAAATTACATATCCTACAAAGAAATAATATTATAAAATTAAAAGTTATTCTGATTAAGTGATCGTGTTAATATTATATTAATAATTATGTGTCGATAATTAATAATTATATTGGAAAAATAAATAATAATTATTTTAATGAAAGATCATTGAAACAATTATTTAAAAATTTCTCATCAGATCCAGATTAATTATTTCGAATTTACAATAACTTACAATAATAATAAAACTTTTAATAATACTAATAAAAAAACACTTGTAAATCTTTAATATAAAAATATTGTATTTTTAAAATAAATCATGGCCGTAAAACTGAATCTAATTAATTCTAAATTTCTTTTTTCTTTTCAATCATCGATTGAATAACTCTCTTTATTTTTCGCAACAATTTTACAGATCTCATTTAAACGAAGAATCCTTTCATAAGCCCTCTAAGTGATGAAGCCTTCATTTATAATTGGGAAAAATACATTTTCATTGAAACGAACCGATGGAAACGTTACACAGTTTGAACTATAAACGAAACTGGTCGATAGATGCACGGGAATACGAACGAGATAAACGGTTTGCAGTTGCCTTGAACGCGATCGTGTCTCACGCGAGACACAATTTTCGCCTACACCGGTTGTTTCGCTTCGTTTGATGCAGAAACTAACCCTTGGGAACAGATCTCTTTCAACGTAGTTTGCACTTGAGTGTAAACGTCACCATCGTCGCGATAATTTTTCTGAATATAATCGACGATTTCCTCCACAGTGGAGGTAAACAAATCGTTCTCCTCGTACTCGTTCTGCATCCGTCTCATCGCTTCCATCACGCGCACAGAGAATCTGGATGAATTCTCAGCAATACGCATGCAATCACAGATTTTCTGCAAAAAATGATTTTTAATTATTTAATATTTTAGGATAAAGTGGATATTGAGATGTACATAATTTGATCTTCCTTAAGATCATTATCCACAGTGTTCAACTATGGAGGAAAGCAATATTTATTGGAGAATTCATTTGTAGAAGATCGTTATAAATTTTGATCGATTTCATTCACCGATCTGTAATGTTTAAATTTATTATACGCGGGCAATTAGAATTAATTTAATGTTACGAAATAATAATTGATTATATAAAATTATTCTTTATCAGCTGAATAAAATGTATTAATTTTGACAAAAAAATATTTTTAACTTATTGCAAAAAAAATGAGGTTACATACTTTTTATTCTATTTGTTATTTTGTCTAAAGGCATAAATTGAGAATTGATTATAAATATTATATATGAATATTATTTATTAAGATGTAATTATACGATATGATGATTTAAAATTTTAAGTTATTTGATATGATAGATCAAAAAACTTGTTAAAATTCGTGTAATGTCGTTATTATTAAAAGTTATCATTAAAAAATTAATAAAATAATTAAAAATTACTAAAAGATTTGCATAAATTTGTCAAAATAAAATTTAAAGTGTAAATCATTTTTTTTTAAATTTTTGCAAAAAAAGATAATTTTCTATGTATATATAATTTTCTTTATAATAATTTAAATCTAAACCTTTTCAACAGGGGGATTTTCTTTTGCACATTCAGCATCACAATATTTTGACTCATCTTCATCGTTTATCTTCATTATTGGTTTTTTCAAGAATTTCATTAAATGTTCAATTTGCCTCTTCATTCTCAAGGGTTATTTCGATTCTTCATATCTAGTGTAATCAATAAGAATTTTAAAATTAGGAAAAGCAATATGAATTTGTCAAACGCGTGAATTTGAAGATTATCGTTTATCGAATTATGTCAAAAAAAAAAGGTGTATAACAAAAATTAATTATTACGCAATAAATTCTTCTAATATATATTCCAAAATAATTTATTGAAGATATTATTTCAGATCTGTAAAAATAAAACGAAAAAAAAAAAAAATAACTCAATATCCTCCCCTTATGATAATATCATTATTTTCTCAACAATTTCTGAAATCAACAATTTTTTTCCTAATTTTCTTAATTTAATAATTTAAAACAATTTTTTAAATACAAAGTTTCCTACGCCTGAATCGAAAAGAAGATCAAATCATTTCGTTTTCTAACATGAGATCTATCTTGTCTCGAGTTACACATGCCAACGAATTATGTTTGTAACTGTGTTTACCACGCGTTAGTATCGATTTGCAATTGAAATAACACTACATGAGCATGCTATGGTCAGGGGGCGGTGTGTTACTCTTGAAAGGAAAAAAATAGGAGGAGCATTTGATCATTGGAGGGAGAACCGTATGAGTAAAATATTAATAAGAGCCGAACAATGTCTGTTCATACACGGAAGCTTTCATTTTAATATCAATATCGTGTCTCAAATCATTGATAAATTATCATCTCGATAATGGTATTCAATGGTAATTATACATTATACATTCTTTTTTCTTAATTACATTTCTTCACTTCAGGTATTCAAGAAGGTATAAAAGAAAGAGATCAAACAATATATATTTAATAGGAAAATAAATATTTTACAATTCTTACATTGATAATCAATGCACAAAATAATGATCATTAAATACAAATATATCTAATATATAATATTCTGATTAAGAAAAAAAGTTCTCTTACTTTTTGTAGACAAATCGAATAATTGAAGATTCAAATAATTAAAATTTTTATTTTTATCGAAAAAAAAAATTGTTTCCAATATTTGACTTAATAAGTAGCTACGAAGACACAGAATAAGTATCATAGAATTTCTTAAGATCTTTTAAGAAAAATCAATTTCCTATTACGTGTGATAAAATATATTTGCTTACGTATCTACAATTTTTGACCGATATTCTTAATTTTTCTAGACAGATTTATGAAAAAATAGGATTATTTGTATAGAGGGGCAATTTCTTTTGAAAAAATTATCATGGAATTAAGAATTAAGAATTAATCTTCAAAAGTAGATAACACAAGATTTAGAATTTCGAGAAGTATCTTGGATTTTTCCATCTTTAAAATTTCGCATAGATATTGATTTTTATTTCAAATCCGATAAAAACTCCGAGCTTGCTGGCCAAGAATTACCTAGACGAGTGCGGATAAGAACTGTGGTAAGCCATAATTTGCCACAGTCTGGGAACCGAAAGGCTGCATACTTCTTTTATACTTTACAAGACCAAATAATCTAAATCATCAAGTTTTGACTATTTTATAATACTTTTTAACGGAAGCTTTTATATCAAATTGTAAAAGAAACAATACACAATGTAGTGATGGCAAAAAAAAAAAATATTTATATTTCAAATTTTTATAATTATATAAAAATACTTATATTTGATAATACGAAATAAATGCTATAATAAATATAATAATAATTATTTTTTAGAATATTATATATAACGATTATGTATCATTATTATCATGAAATTACTATGACATTCATACAGATCATATCTGTAATAATTTTATTTTTTCTAATCATTACAACTACAATATAATGCCATGAATACTACGATAAAATTGTTATGTGCAAAGGAAAAATTTTCCTAAAACTGTTTTGATATAAAAAGTTTAATATTTTCCAATATTTTCTTCCTATACGAATCTGGCATTTTGATTCACGAGATAGCAGGCAGAACCGAATACTAAAACGATCTACGTTGCTTTAAAAAGAAAAAAAAAAAGGGAAATCAGGATAACCGAAAGGAAGAAAAGCTGCAACGTTAATCTTTCATCGCAGGCGAATACTTCCAGCACAAAGGAAGTGTAAACGAAGTAAATGAAAACGGAAGCCTGCTAATCGGCACACACCTGACACGGAACACGTACTAGAAGGAACGCAGGGCATGGAACCGAGTGGTGAATCGAGGAAAGAAAAGTTTAATCGCGTCTTTTGCGAACAAAGAGGGGCGTCCCCGTGACGACTTGATGAGATAACTTTCCTCTGGGTTGTGAAACAACGAGCGTCACGAACACTACATGACTCTGCGCGAGGGTGAAAGAGGAATCGCTGCCTTCTAAGCGAAGATGGTAAACGGTGGATGAAATTAAGGGTTAGACACGCGACCCATTCGCCATGATGTCGCTTCCAGGTGTACGACACACGAAATGTGCGTGATTCTTGCTTCGTATTCGTCACCTGAGAATTTTGTTCGGGAAAAACGATGAAAAATAGCTTGTTGAAGCTTCTTCAATTTGACTAGCTTATATTTTGAATTCTATTTATCATTAATTATTGAATTTAAAATTATTTAATGATCGGATTAAAATATAGTATATAAATGTCTAACAACATTTGTATACAAATATAACATACTAAACTTTGGATTTAATGATGATTTTAGATAAAGTTTACAATTTGTTAAAATCATATTAATTTTATAGAGAAAATGTTCAGAATGGTTCAGGTATGCCGTTCCATGAGATGTTTCCCATTTCAAGACCAATTTTTTTAAGAATTTCTCCTTTTCATTTTGAGGTAACGTCATCTTTAAATCTTTCTCTTCTTTTCACAACAAAAACTTTCGATCCGAAAGTTACATGACGTCAGCAACCATAATTCAGCATCCTGACAAGCAACCATAACAGTCTAAATTACTCCCCCATAAATCGTCATAAAACTGTTAACTTTTTTTTCAACTTTTTTTTTTATATAAAATTCCTAACCCAATCAATATTACAAATAAAAGTTTCACAATCTCAAAAATACATTTTCGTATATTATACTCTCTCTCTCTCTCTCTTCACAATTACGAGTTTGTTCTACATTCCAACACCATATATACATTCATATCATAAATTTGCGCTTTATGGCTTAACAACTTTCTTCAACATTTCTTTCTTTCACGTACGTAAAGAAATTAAGGAAAAATATAATTTGAAAGCGGAAATACTTAAACACCGAAAGAAGCAGAGGACATTAAACGAGAGAAATGTAATGTGGTGGCAGGGAGATACGGTCGAAATGTGTAATCTGTCGTTTCCAGGCGATTACGCGGATTAGCTGGAGGTCATGCGGTGTCATGGGAAACTTAAGGGGCGCTCAGGAGGTCACATGACGTGATGTCACGTTACTCGTTGGTCGCGGACAGGTGTTTGAGTTCGCACGAGCAAGAGACCGAGCGAGCAAGAGGCGCGTGGGCGTTCGCTATCGCGAATCCGAGCGGCATAATGATAACGAGCGGTCGACAGAGAAGGGAGTTCATGTCAGGACAGATCTCGTTGATTATTTTTGCTTCTTGATGAACAAATTTTTATCGATACCATTGTGGATGATTATTGATGGTAACAGTCAATTTTTACAAAGCAAGACGTTTCTTGAATTTTGAAGAATATGGCGATGGATAATTGTGCTCTCGAAAAATTTGATCTACGTACGTTTCTTAATAATTTTAGCTCTACTTAATTCAACACTATTAAAAAGCAAGATCTTTAAAAAATATGTATATTTTTGTAGGTGGAGTAATAATTTGAAAAATTTTTAAGAGAAAATAATAAAGTATGGACAATTCTGTTGTAAGTAAATTTCATGTATAATACTTCTTTTTATATTGAAATCAATTTAATTTCTTCGATAAATCTAGCGGGCATGGCTAAAACACACTTCTAGGAAAAATAGAAAATATAATAAAGAGATTATGTAGATTAAATGTTAAAATCAATAGAAACAATAGTTGAATAATAATCTAAAAGTGGGTGAAAATGATTCATTTTGTTTCTTATAGATATACACCTGGCAAACTTGTGAAATGTTGAAGCTAAATTGTTGTTTCTAAGACACCTGTACTGAGGCCTCGTGAGATTACGGCCACATGGCAATGGGCGCATCACCCTTCAACGCTAAATTAGATATTACGATAACAAATGGCGTTATTTAACCCGTAGTGCGCCCCCCCGAGTTAAATTTGAACAGGCAATATAATCCATCCTGCTCGTCCCCTTTTTTCGCGAAAACGAAAACGACACGCTATCTCGTAAATCACCGTCGCACCTTCAATCTTCTTTTGTACAATTATATTTCCGCTGTTAGTATTTTTACTTTACTTACAGTCAAACAAAGAAGTAGAAAGATTTAAGGCTGAAAACTTGGGAAAAATGTAGAATTAAATTATCATTTATTATTTAATTAAAATATTTTTTTGTGCTCTTCTTTTTTTTTTCAGAAAAAATTATCAAAAAATTCAATCAACTATTCGGTCAATTAATCTCTTTATGAATTATTCTTGCATTAATATTTCTTGAATCTTTCGTGTTAAAAATTATTAGTTAATTTAATGTTTAATATATCGATTGATAAATAATCAGGAATTATTTGACGATCCAATTATTATTATAACATTAATAATATTTTTCGATCGTTCTAAATTATGTACTACAATAAAGATAGATACAGACACGCGAAGGTCAAAGGACCTGTATAGTTAATTCCTGCGGAAAACAATCGATCTTTTGACCATTAATTGCCATACATGATGGGATTGCAACATTGATGAAGTTGAATAGAAACAATTTTAAGCTCTGAGTCGGACTCATCAATGTTGCAAATTCTCCATTCGATATTGTCTGGTTGTCGTGTAATTTACTTCATAATAATTATTGACGCATTAAACATTCGTAGGTAACATGAAAGTGTCAGCTGCCAATTGTCCCAGAGGTATTAGAAACATAGTCGAATCCTATCTATTAGCATAGTGTGTTATTGCCTCGGTATGTGTATGTACTTACATGGATACATGAAATAGAAGTAATTGAATATTGTAAAATAATTTGTCAATTGAAAAAAATTTGTAATATTTGAAAATACTATAATAATATATACATAATTTAAAGTTTTAATAAATCAGAATTGTTTTGGAAAAAGAATTTGAAGGTTAAGTTTGTTTCTTTTAAAATGATCTATGATAATTTGCATATATTAATCAAGAAAGAACATTTAATGTTACGAAGATATATACAAAACCATCAAATCTTGTTGAATCATGTCTGAGGGTTATGTAAGAAACTATGTATGATGTATGAATGACAAGACATTTATCGATAAACATTAAAAAAAATGTGAATAAATATTTATCTTCTGTCTTTTTCTTTATATATATATAATTTATTTATCATTTTTTTATATTTATATATATTGCATAATGTTATATAGTTTTTTTTATTATTATATATTTATATTATTCTATATCTCATTTTGAGGTTAGGCATTCAATTAACTTCAATTAATATTTTCTTTATATATTTATCATTGTTTTATAACACATTGTAAGTTTACTGATTCGTGAAAGTATCTTAATAATAATAATATTTAAAATATATTATCTAAAATATATATAACTAAAATATATTATCAATTTAACATATATTACTATTTTATTTCAAAAGAATAATTTTTTAATGTATTTATAATATTTCGATGAAATAATTGTAAATATTTTTACACATTCATATATTAAATATTTTTTATATTTTTTTTACAGAAAAGGATTTCGTTTATATATTTATTCAAGCTATGCAATGAAACAAAAAATATAATTACAAAGAAAAGAGTTTAAAAACGTGTTTCGTAAACAGTAAAGTCCGTCAGTAACAACTTTCAACGCGACACCGATGTTAATCTTCCATCATTCAATCATGCAAGATACGAGAAAAGTCCATTACAACAATAGATCTAAAGATTAAGGTCGTGATATGAGTGTAAGGCTAAGCCATTATCGGTTGTGCCGTCATCCAGGGATTGGCCGATCAGAGCCAAGCTTTTGCCTTGCTTGGCCACTTAAAACACCAGTCAACTGTTCACCCCTAATGATTCAGGGGCGGAACAATCGTTTGTTTTCCCAGTGCGCATGTACGGAGAGGCGGAACCACCCTTGGTGGCGACGAATTGCACATCCTTTTGCTGAAAAGATATACGGTAATAAAACACGTGATACGAAACGTCAACAGGCTCGACAGGAAGTTGAAATCGTGACGCGAAAGAAGTTTGATCACGGTTTCGCGTCCGATCGAATTTCCTTTGGAAATTGACGTTATTTTCAAAGAACTAGATAATAATTTTAATTATTATTGATATTGATCTTTGAATTTTTTAGATATTATTTTATTATTCAAAGTGAATGTGAAAAAAATAAATCCATGAAATGTTAGAAAAGAGTGAAATGTTAAGGAAAAGAAATTAGTAGTTTTTTATTTCATATCGAATGAAAATCATCAAAATCAAAGAATTAAGAAGAAACTGTGAATTCATGTGGATGGATAAAAAAAGAATTTTCGATGAACATGAGTACATAAGTAGCATGTTTTAATTGATTAAGATTGAAGTGAGTTAGAATGTTTTTAAAATATATTGAATAATTTGAGGTATAATTATTTTGGTACATTGGTGAAAAGAAAATGATTTGATCATATTAAAGAGTGTTACACATAGTTCTTTTAGTGTTTATGGAGTTTGAAACTATTTCTTTTAAAGGAATGAGCTCTCACGCGCATGCAAGAACAATCTGTAGCGGAAGCGCAGTGACAAGTGCGGTTTCTGCATTACATTTTTTAAAGAGTTATAGTCTATTCACACCGACTTCAGGTATTTTTTCAAATTTTTTAATAGATTTAATTCATTTAATTTATATCTGTAATTTATATCTTACTTTTATAAAATTAAATCACTTTTGATAATTAAAAATGTATTTTTACTTTTTGTGACAATTTATTTTTTATTTATTAGTCTTTCTAATTTGTAATTAGCAAAATATGCATTAAATTTATTTAAATTTTTATATAAAAAATTCCATTATGTTTATTATATTATATTTTTTTCAGTTGGAATTTTATTTCATTACAAAGCACTTAATACTAATTAATATATATAGAAATATATATTATATTTATAAACGAATATGAATTATGAACTTATGAAATATGAAATAAGAACATGAAATATGATTTTATGCAATTTCGAATTGATTCGCAACTCCTCAGATAGCCGTGATCGTCTAGTGGTTAGGACCCTACGTTGTGGCCGTAGTAACCCAGGTTCGAATCCTGGTCACGGCAATGTGCCAAGACACATTGTCACGGTAGAGGTTTTATTTTTTTCTTTCTTCAATATTTAAACTTTTATTTATTATAGTTCTTACTTATTTATTATTTAATTAACTTAATAAATTATTTTTTCATTCTGTATTTATTTAATTCATGATTTATTCTTATATTTCAATATTCTTTTTTTTTGTAAAATATTTTTTTTAATATATTATTTATATCATTGGTAATGAAAAAAATAATTACATAAAAAGATGAAAAATTATTTCGATAAAGATAATATTTATAAAATTTGTTATAACTTGCATACAACTAATTAATAATAATAAGGAAGATGATTAAGAATTGTACAATATTATTTATTTAAATTTGTTTGTATATGTAAATTCAATAATCATTACTAACATTATATGTCTAAAATGAAATAAAAAAAATTTTTTTTTATTTTTTATTATTTTTATTTTTAGTCTTATGTATGTATTGATGTTGAATTTTTATTAATTTTATTTAATTATGAAATTCATTTTTCTTTTATATATAGCATTACTTAGATAAAAAAAAAAATAATAGAACGAGACATGGAAAGAAAAAAAAGTATTTGTTTTATTTACCCCTGGTGGGACTCGAACCCACAATCCCCGGTTTAGGAGACCGATGCCTTATCCATTAGGCCACAGGGGCTGGTGGTATTTTGTCTTTTTAAATTAGATATAATTTGGACATTACATAAAATTATATATATGTTAAATATTAATTTGTTACTATAAAATTAATACTTTTTAAATTGATTGAATTAAATAAACTAAATTTTAATGCTCTTTTAAGCTATCAAATATATTATATATAATATATATAAATATTTCTTAAATTAAAATTAAAAACTACTATAATTTACAATATTTGCATTTTATTATTAAAGATATTAGATAAAGATAAAAATTATAATAAATTATATTAATTTTGTAGACTTATGCAGATATGAGCCATATAATTCTAAAGATTACAACTTTGGAAATATCGACATTTTAGAAAGTTCAAACACACCAGATATAGCAATTGGCCGGACATCATCGCCATTAACATCGCCCTCATCTTTGTCAACATTTTCACTTCCGGGATCTATACTTCAACCACCATTCTTATCTACAATTCCACCTTTAATGCAATCTATAAATGTGCCTCCGACATTTTCCAATAGTAATACAAGTAAGTTGATAATTTTTAAAATTATTTTATTTGTAAAAAAAATATATATTAAAATATAACTATTATAAATTATTAAATATTTATATGTTATTATCAAAATAACTTATCAACTGCCTCGGTAGCGCAGTAGGCAGCGCGTAAGTCTCATAATCTTAAGGTCGTGAGTTCGATCCTCACCCGGGGCAATTTGTTTTTTGTATTTCTTTTTAAGAGATTTATTAGTTGTTAAATATTTAATATTATTCTTATTTTTATGAATATATTAGTTTCAAAAATTATGATTAATGAAAAATATGTACAATAAAACAGATAACATGGTAAGTCGTCATTTTTTGAGTGCGAATAGCATCACAAATATTCATAAACGACCCAGAAGTGAAAAGAAACCAATACCAGATGATCAAAAAGACGAAAAATATTATGAAAGACGTAAACGTAATAACCAAGCTGCAAAGAAATCTCGAGATGCTCGGAAAATTAGAGAAGATAATGTGAGTAGAAATTTAATTATATTTAGATTGCATCTATAATAATACTTAAAAGTTGTTGCATCTTATGATAAAATATTTAATATAATAAATTATTCTTAAAAAAAAGAAAACAAAATTAAATTTATAATCAAAATTTTATTCTAGATTGCATTGCGAGCAACTATATTAGAGCATGAAAACGCAATTTTAAGGGCGCAAGTGATAACTCTTCGTGAAGAAGCGCAATGTCTTCGACATATGTTGATTAAACAACAAACATCACCGTTACAATCTATTAATCGGTCAATTTCTTCGATAACACCTGTTACATTATCACCTCCGCATTCAACGGCAACTTTAGATTGCCAAATTTGAAGTATACTATTAATAAAAAAACGTCATAGCTGACAATTCTTGGCAATCAAATGAATATTTTTTAATAATTATATAGGAAACATATTATATTCATAAAGTGATATTAAATTATTTAAATTGTTGTGTTAAGGTTTTTTAAATTTTATGAAATTTATATATAGACAATATACTTCAAATACAATATTACTTCAAAACGTACAAAAAAATTTTGCGTTAATTAATTTTTTATTAATTTAACTAAATAATTCAATTATTGATTTTAAAATTTAAATATAAAACATTAATTCATATCTTTTAAAACAAAAAGCAAATATAATATAGTTTCATTGCTTATTTAGATTAAGTAGATTAGATTATGTAAATAGTAATAATAGTGTCATTTTATAACTGTTGAGAAATGAAAATTTATCCATTATAAATAAAATAGCTTTATTGTTATATAATAATTACTCATTAGAACACGTTAGCTATGTTATATAAATGTTTTTAGTAAACAAGTAACTTATATATATAAATATAAAAATTTCAATTTTAAATTATTAAGCAATTATTATTCAATTTCTATACAATAAATTGTGAACAGTGCAAAAAGATATATTTAAATAGAATTTGGAAATGATTAAGATTTAATAATTAATATAGTAATTTTCTATTCATTTAATAAATGTTTTAAAATATTTTATATAAATTTCGATTTTATAGTATAAAATTTTTTATTATGTAGGCTACCCTGTATATTTATTAATCTTTTTGAAAATAATCAAGAAAAATGTATTATAATGAAAATTTATAAAAATATAATAATTAATATTCAAATCGTTACGAAAAATTCATTAAAAAATTGTATATTTGATTATTTTATGTATGTTTTTATTTGTTGTAATATAAAAATTATTTTTTTGACTTCGGTGGTATATATATGATACGAAAAATGATTGCAAATTTTTGATATTTTTAATGCAATGATATTTTAATTTATAGATTAGACAGATTGTAATTTATATGTTCTTACACTGTTATTCGATTTTAATAAAATTGCAATATCTTTTGTTTATTTGTAATAAAATTTGAATTGAAAAAACATTTTTAAATTAATTAAAAATTTACAAATTATTTGATTTATTGTAAATTTAATCAAATTTAATAAAATGATATTAATAAATTTATGGGAAATTATTTATTTAAAGTTTAAAAAAACATAAAATTTGTGAATGAAAATTTTTCTTTTTCTGAAAATCTGTAATAGCATATCTTTAATTTTACTTAGTCATTGATTATAATTTAGTAACATATGTTCTAAACAAAAAATCCAATTAGATTGAATCTATTGCTTTGCAACTCTTCGTTGTAGCAAATCTTTGTACTAAAAGAGACAGTAGATATTCTAATTATTTATTAGTTTATCATCTTAAAATGTAAGTTGTACTAATATTTTATTGAGAATTTAATTTTTTTATAACATATTTATGTACATAAATAAGATTTGTATACATTTTTATATTTCTAGACATTTTCAATAAGAAAATCACTGAGTAAAAAGTTAACTTTTTAACCTATTAGATAAATATAATTATATCGTTACAAATAATTCAATATTATAATGCATTTTCTTTATATTAAATAGTTATCAATAATAATTTTAATAAAAAAGAAATTTACAGCATATTTTATTTTTAATACATAATTGCGTTTCATATATAAAGTTAATTTCTGTTGGTCAACCTGTTTACTATTATGCGTGAACTTATATAGTATTTTATTTGGTGTATGCAGACGTTTGAAAAGAAGATCGATATAATTGAAGCAGACAATATTTCATTGTTTATGTCACGGGGATTTTTCCGTGACTTTCCCCGAATTTCTTTTGTGTTACATTAAAAGCATTAACTCAAGCATTAATTTCATAATTTAAACGAGTGGGATTCTCAGAATTAATTCATTGAGTTTATTCAACTATTTTATAATTATTTGAACTCTTAATATCGAAAAAATGCCGCACGCAGGCTTAGTAACTATAATTCTTGGAGTCACTGTAGCTACAGTTTTATATTTTATGTTTGGAAATAATAAACAGAGAAATGGTCAATATTATGAACATGCTTATGAATCTTATTCAGAGTGAGTCTTTTTATAAATATATAATAAAAATATAACTATATAAGTCAATTCTACCTAACTGAATAAAAAATATCTTTTTTTCTATGATAATAGACAATCCAGTGTATCAAGAGATTCCGATGAATGTCCAATATGTTTACTTCCATTGGCATGTAAAATTAATTATATTTTACAACCTTGTAGACATAAATTTCATAAAAGATGTATTGAAAAATGGGGACATGAAGCTGAGGTAAGTAACATAAATAATAATATTATTATAAATAGATTTAATGATTATAGCTTTTGAAATTTTCTCAAAAACGTAATCCAAATTTAAAATATAATTGATGTTATCTTGCAGTCTCAAGCATTGTGTCCACTCTGCAGATCTCCATTTGCTCAAATTAGATAGATTTACATAAGACTGTCAAATTTAATATAAAATAAAAATTTATTGATTAATATAATATTTTTTGTACTTTGTTGAAATTAAGATGTATTTGTTAAACATCAAATTTTCAAAACTACAAATAAATTTTTAATAGATAGTTGTAAAATTGTCTTGTATAATTAAGACAAGAAGAATATTCTATTGGAGAAGTAGAGTAATTAAAATGAGAAAAAATTAAAATGAAAAAAAATATTATTTTCTATAAAAACATTATATGCAAGGTGAAAGTTTTGTTACTTCTTTGTATCGATAACAAAAACATGACAGTAAAGTTTGCCCTGTTTTTTCAATGTTGTATATATACAGGGTTATATACGTTATGTCAGGTGCTGTGATTTATTCACATACAATTAAATATAATTACATACATTTTTAAAATATAAAATAAATATATAAAGAACAATGGAATATAATATACAATATAGTTTAAAATTATTGTTTGAAGCTTAATAAAGTTAAAAAAAATTTTGTTTTGAAATTTGACTTAAATGAAAAAGAATTAAGTATGAAATTTATGATTTAATCTTAATTTTGACTTTAACTTTGATTTTAAAATTTACTTAAAATACAAACATTTCATAAAATGAATCTTCCCTTTGTAAATAATTTATATAAGATAGTGTTCATAAAATTAATTATATATATTTAAATATAAGATTTTTACTCTATATTTCTATTGAATATTTCTATTATTCTATCTATTAAAATATAACATTATAGCCCTGTAAACATATATCGTTAGCTTTTTTTATTATATGAAATATTGCTTTCTATAATATTTTAGTATATTGATTAATTATAATATAACTTTATTATATGAAGAAGTTATTATTAATTTAATGATTGCTTTATTTGACATCTAGCTATATTATCTAAATAGCTTTATTCTAATAGCTAATTTATTATTTTTCTCATTATTATAAACAATATTACATATATTTTAAGTAATTGAAATTATTTTTAATGTTTTAATTGATAAAAATAATTAGAATCAATTCAGTTTGCATCATTTATTTTTGTTATAAAATGCATATTTGAAAAATAATGATATACATATTTATATTATATTGCAATCGATATTATATTACAAGTTTTTTTAAAAAATTATGTAGATTGAAAATTATATATAATTATTTTATTCTTATAAAAATATATTTAATACTAAAATGTATTTACAATGAAAGTCACAACAATAAATTTTTATTGTTAAATATAATAAATAATAGTTTATAAATTATTAAATATTATATTTCATAAATTATAAATATTTTATTCATATTAACGAAATTTGTCGATATTTAATCAGTTAACTTAATATATAAGATTATCAAATTAAATAATAGAAATTTTAAGAAGTGTGATATTTGAACACATAAATCATTTTAACTTAATATAACTTACAAATTAATAGTTTATAAAGTGTGTTATAAAAAAAAATGTACATAGATATAAAATGTAGAATATATTTCTGTGTGAAAAATGAATAAAATAAATATAATTCCTAAATAATAAACAAGTATTTTAAAATATTAACTTCTTCTTACCTTAATATTTCCATTATTATGCAAATATTTTTGTATACATAATGATTGTCTTTGACAATTATGTTTATGTTTTATGAAAGTGAAAATAACATAATAATTTTGGTAGGATATAATAACTTCATATGATATTACTTATGAAACTTTCCTTTGATGTTTATTATTAAATTATTACTTTGATATAAAAAAATATAAAAAAAAGGATATAATCAAGAAAATTAAAATATATAAATACAACATTTATGAATTTAATTCTTATGGTTATGCTACGCGTAGAACACTTTTCTTTTCACTAATCGTAAATGGTTCTGTGGTTTCCGGTTCACTCGATTTGTATCCCTTTCGCAATCGCGACCGTAATTATTATTACTTTCTATTCTCTGAATTTTCATTTCAAGTCAACGGTTTAAACAAATCATCTCATTAATAATCTTTTCTTTTAATAATAAACTCTCGCATATTGAAAATAAAAATAATCTGTTTAATACTAAAATTCATTAAATAATATTTTATTTAAATAAAAATTTCTTGATATAATGATTCTATACTAATTAATTAGAAAATATTGAAATTATTCTTGAAAAAATCTTACAATAAGAAGTATATAAAAATTTCGATAAAATAATAATGTTTTTTTTAGTATAATGTATAATATACATGTAATTTATATAAATTCATTTGTATTTATATATATATATATATATATATATATATATATATATATTTGTATATATATATAT